TAGAAAAAATTCAATGCTTAGAGCCTTTTATTTTATTAATAAAACTTTCAAATCTCATATACAAATATAATTCTTTTGAAGAGCACCTAATCTACGCAGCTACCTTCTAGGAAGGGTTCTGTTTGAACTAGGCCTCTTAGTAGCCACCTGATCAGCGGGGATACCATTATGCATATTAAATACCTTTTGTATAGGCACCCGATAATCATAAGCAACTTTAAGCATTTCATAAGTAGAATTCTACCTAGTACAAAACATCTTTTGGAACTTTTCTATATGGAAGGTTAGCACTAGCATATTGTTGAGCAAATTCACGAATTCTACTCGCTTTATTAGCACGAAAAATATAGCCGCAAGCATGTTGTACTCTACTACAAGCATCAGAAAATAAATTAATACCATATTTTACAACCAAGTTAAAAATATGGCATGCACATCTAACATGAAAAATTGCCGGATTAATTGGACAAAGTCTAGTTCTTAAGCTAGTTTCTGTAGTTATGTTAGCTGAAGTATTATCTAAGGTGATAGTTAAAACTTTATCAACGAGTCCATAAAAATTAAGTATTTGTAGAAAAGTAGTTGCAATATATGCTCCAGTGTGTTTTGAATCAACAAATTTATAACCAATAATACGTTTTTGAATGATCAAGTGATGATCAACCCAATGACATGTAACAGTTAAATAATTACAACCATTAGAACTAAGACCTATATCAGATGTGATAGACACTTTACAATCTAAGTGAAAAAATACACAACGAATATACTTAAGATATTTGGTTTGAAATTTAAAAACATCATTTCTAACTGTAGTCTTAGGAAAATCTTGAAAAGTAGGATTATAAGTTTTTTGTATATAATGCACAAAAGCAGGGTGAGAAGGAAAAGTAAAAGGTAAGCCACAGACAGCTACCGTTTTTTGCTAAGTTCTCACGATATCTATCTTTGTTATATGGGCGTAAAATAGTACCAGAAGCAGGGTCAAGCTGTTGTTGTACAAAATCAGAACCCCCGCTAGATCCACTAGGAGTTAGAAATGATCTAGTTGCCAAATAAAAATATCATTGCCAAATTGTCTTTGTAAAGTTTCATGATCTAGTTGTTCTCCGAAATTAATATTATAACATGTGGGGGGGTTGGAAAAATGAAGTTTCATCAACATGAGTCATTTCATCTATATGTTTTCTAATTATAGGAGAAGGGATAGGATTAGGACTAAGATTAGGATTACTACTACTTTCACCTTTACTAGTTTTTTTAAATATGCCAAATACATTTTTAGGTGCCATAATTTAAATACGAAATTAAATTTAAAAAGTGAACACAAAAATTAAAAACACAAATGAAATACGAAAATAGAACATGTAAAGTAAACACAAAAATTAAGCACTAAAATAATGCGCAAAATATATATATTAAAATTAAGATATGGAACGAGTGCACCGTGATTAAATATTGAAACTTGAAGAAATTACCCAAAATATTGCTCCAAATACTTGACGAATTAATTTGAAGCTTGAAAGTTGCTCAAAACATTTGCCCAAATACTTGAAACTTATCACTTGATTGCGAGAAAATTGAGAGAATAATATAGATAGAATATAAGAGATTTGAGAGAGAATGATTTATTTTTGTGGGAAAAAATGAAGAAGAATGGGGGTATTTATAGTAGAAAATAGGGCCAAAGTGTAATTTAATAAACTTAGAGATTATATTAAAAGTTTGGGGGTAGGGGTGTTTTGGGGGTGGGGTGGGGTGGGGGGCCAAATATGACTGTTTTTTCCCGTTGGGAATGACTGTTTTTGTAATTATAGTTGTTGCCAACGGCTATAATTCAAAAATAATGTGACGCGGGACGGGACGGAACGGGCGGGACGGGATGAAATGGGACGGGATAAATGGGACAAAATGACAATCTCGTCACATCCCGTGTCCCGTTTAACATGGGCACATCCCGTTTAAAATTAAGTGGGACGGAACGGGACAGGACGGGACGACCCGTCCCGTTGGACAACCTTAGACTCACTATCATCATTGGCTTGGCTATTTACTATATCTTTTATTTGCTTTATCTAACATCATTTATCACTTGTATTAAATTAGTCTACATATACTTAAAACCGCATATAAATTCAATTGTTATCCATTTTCAAGGATAAACAATAATACTGCTCATCTATTTTAATTTATGTGGCGTTTTTTCCTTTCTAGTCCGTTTTAAAAAGAATGATATTTTTTTAAACTTAAAAATAGTTTAATTTAAATTTTATATTTTATGATTAATGACAAGTTTTATAGTCGTACAAACGTCGCAACATTTAATATCATAAGACCACAAGTTTCAAAAGTCACTATCTTTCTAATTATGCCGTATAGACAATGGCGTAGCCATATGCATTGAAGGGTGGTCAACCGAACACTCTTTTTCGAAAACTTATACTATGTATATAGAAACTTATATTGTGTATGTACGTCAAAAATTATTTTTTATATGTGTATGTTCAATTTTTATGATCGCCTAATTTTTTACCATACTTGAATTTTTCACCACTTTTTAGTATGTAAATATATTTTAAGTTTAATCTACATATTTTAGCTCTTATTTCACCTTTTATAATTATTACTTAAGAAAATTATATCGCACTCATCTACTAATACATTACTTCCCACTTCCACCACTCACTTTACCCCATTTCCCCCAACCCCTTCACGTCACCTAGCACACATCTTACTACCACACAATTATTCCCAGAGGTGATGGGATAAGCCTGCGGCTGATCTTCGAAATGTTGCAGGCTCAACATGCGGCGATAGCGCAGCTGCAAAATCAAGGCCACACTCCTGGTAGGGTTGAGCCCGAACGGTCCCGGGGGAGTACCCGAATAAGCGAGCAAAACACCGGGAAGGCGGATAAAGCTGAGCCCGAGACCAACCCCGAAATAATAAAAATGCTTGAGGAATTGACAAAGCGGGTAGAATTAGGGGAAAAGAAAATTAAGGCTAACGACACAAAAGTGGAGACCTATAACTCCAGGGTCGATCAAATCCCAGGAGCACCCCCGATATTGAAAGGTCTGGACTCCAAGAAATTTGTCCAAAAGCCTTTTCCTCCGGGCGCGGCATCGAAGCTAATCCCGAAGAAGTTTCGTATGCCCGAAATTTCGAAATATAACGGAACCACGGATCCAAAGAGTACGTGACCTCCTACACGTGTGCCATCAAGGGGAACGACTTGGAAGATGACAAAAACGAGTCGGTTTTGTTAAAGAAGTTTGGAGAAACTCTGTCAAAAGGAGCAATGATATAGTATCACAACTTACACCCCAAATTCTATTGATTCGTTTGCTATGCTTGCAAATGCCTTTGTGAAAGCGCATGCCGGGGCCATCAATGTCGAGACCAGAAAATCAGACCTTTTCAAGGTAAAACAAAGAGATAACGAAATGCTAAGAGAATTTGCATCGAGGTTTCAACTGGAACGGATGGACTTGCCTCCGGTTGCGGGTGATTGGGACGTTCAGGCGTTCACTCAAGGACTCAACCCCCGGAGCTCCTTGGCTTCACAGCAATTGAAACAAAATTGAATAGAGTACCCAGCGGTAACTTGGGCCGACGTCCATAACAGGTCCCAGTCAAAAATCAGAGTCGAGGGCAATCAGCTGGGGGGCCCTCCGGGTCCGTTTATCCTTAAAATTGCGTATAAATTCAATTGTTATCCATTTTTAAGAGTAAATACATGCCTTTTGAGTCTACTCAATTCAATTGACTTCCATGTCAAGCTTCCAGGTTTTGACTCAAAAAAAGTCTAGTCATTTCTCAGTGCAAGTTTCTGACTTCATTCAAATTAATTGCTGGTTGCACGTTCACCCATTTTTCCACCACTATATTCTAATTTTTTCTCTATGAAAAATAATGTTGGACTCCGCCTATTGCAACACAGAGCTGGTTCTAAATCCTAATAATGAAGGAGTTGCGGCAGTTTGATGGTCAGTGTAAAAATAATCATATTATTGATGATACACAAGATTTATTCATTTATTTACCGATCTCAACTAGTTTGAGGCATAAATTGATTGATTTGACATATTGCCATTGAGAGGGACTGGTGAATGATTTGGAATCCTCTACCCTTAGATGTCTCGAATTCAAGCTCTTGGAATGGAGAACCATTTGGCAGGGAGCGTTTACCCCTTAGTAGGTCTACCAGGCAGAGGCGGATGTAACCTTTTGACTATGGGTTTTAATTACGTATGGTTAAACAGAATATAGAAAAATATGTAAGCTTATTGCAGGTGCTGTTGACTTTTTTTCCCTGTAGGCATCATTGCATTATCATATCTTAGTTTTTAGTTCCTTGAGCCTAAAACCTACTTGCAGAAAAGCAAGCAGCTTATCCCTCTATGAGGGTTAATTTGCCTATGTAAGGGGTTGTTTGGTGCGCTGGATAAGCAAAAATAATTATGGGATAAAAATTTAGTACCGTCTTATCTGTTGTTTGGTTACTATACCTTATTTAGTTATCTCAGGATTAAAAAATAGTACACGGATATCTTATATCGGCCAGATGGTGGAATAGTAATCCCAGGATAAGCAGTAAAATTGACAATCCCAGGAGTAATACAACATATCAAACAGTCGATAAGAAATAATATCACGATAACTAATCTCAACACAACTAATCTCAATATAACTAATTCCAACATAACTAAAATCAGTATAACTAATCCCATCATAACTTGTCTTCAAACAAAACGACCCTTAAGTGTTAGATCAATTCATCTTCATGCTTGTTCTAAATTTGACCAGCTTGGTTTACAGGGTGTCTCAAGAGGAGTTCTTTTGACGAAATACTGAAGATGATGCAAGATATTAAGAAATATTTACATTATTCCATGGAAAATGTCCAAGTAAGATGGAAAATATAGCATATAAAGTTGATGATCCATTTGAATAGATTAATTGTAGTAGGTAATCCAACCTGTACAGAACTTTCAACTTATGTATAGAAAGATGTTCCTGCTTGTGAAATCCAATTGCTGCACTGAAAAGTGCACCATAACTATGACAGCAAATAATTTACAGGACATCTGTGACAAAAATAAAACTTGTGCTCGAGTATTACATGCAGAAACCTCACTTATTTGCACCTTTATTTTTCTAAATCCTGTTTTCTATTTGCTCTATTCTTCTATTTGTTCATTTCTACTACTAAACTAAAAGAAACACCCTCTTTGTTTCCTCTGTGTGCAGTTGTTTTCAACCAACCTGCAAATATCAGGTACCAGAAGTTAAATAACCAGAAGTTGAATCCGATAATAAAAAGAATGCACCACCACGTAAAATCTCAAACTAGTTGAAGTCGGCTGGATTCATCTTAATTTCATCTTAGTTTCATACTGCCTATTCTTTGCTCATAGGATGAGTTATGGTTCATGCCACGTGGAACTTTAGCCGGATAAAATGATACTGTATATATAAGTCAAATATTACTTTCTATAAATATATATTAAATCTTGAACATCCTTAGTGAAATTCCTGGCTTCACCACTGGACTTCATACTATATAATGCCTTGAAAATTTATAAAAAGATTTTAAATGTTTTCTTTTGTGTAACTGACTTAGTATGTTATATGATGTTCTTTTGGGAGAAAGGTTGAACTTTTACCTGCTTTTGCTGCTGCTATTGTAACTCATGCTTTTCTTGATGCTTCTACTATACTTATTCTCTTTTATAACTACATATATAATCCTCCACCAGTCCCTATTCATGGATTTCTCCGATTCGTCGACAGGTGTTTTTGGAGAAACTTTTGAGCAGTTCCTTGGCTTTAGTTTCTTCTTGCTACCTATAGAAGAAGGGAGGAACATTTTTAATAAGAAAACCCCACTATCCATGCTTTCACTTCTTGATATTTGACTCCTCTTCAAAGTTTTGCTCTGTTGTGGCATTCTAACTTTTGGATTTCTCCTTTCTAATGTTTCAGCATGTTGGCCCTCTTCTGTGCTTTGTTGATTGTCAACAATATCTTTCAATGACAGTTCAAAAGATGACTCAGGCAAGTCCTGAATCATCCTCATGAGGTGTTTCCTACCATCCCTAATCGCCTGAAAATGCGAATGAGCATATAATCAATGAGTTCAACTCAACCAATATTAACGACACATGCATGATATATATGTATGTGAAAAATCATTAAAATTTTGACAGGTATTAAATTGTGAGCATATAATTTCATAATGTAGAATCTAAAGATTGAGCATATCAAAATTAAATACTGAATGTGCCTCTGATCACCTGTAATCTTGATCCTGGAAAAGGATTACCAAAATAGTCATAGCATGGCAACAAAGTAGAAGCTTGATTTTTGGTATCTCTTAATGCCCTTTGAGTCCATAAAGGTGGAGAACAAGGACTATAGCCATTTGTGATATGTTCACAAGCTTGAAACTCTATATCATCACTCTCTTCTTGTCTTTGTTCATTCCATGGTTGAAGTGTTGATACTTTGCTGTCCTGATTGTATGCATTTTTTGATTCAAGAAAAGGGTCTAAAGTGTGAAAATGGTCTTTTTGCATGGCTCCTTCCTTGAATTAAAGTATGGTTTATAATTGTAATAAGATTTGCTAATAGCCTCTAATTTGTTTTGGAGTTCAAGAAACAGGCTAATATTAATGGCTGTTTTATAGGGTACAAAAGACTTGGTCAATGTCATTTTCCACAAATCTTTAGTCATTGCCGTCTTAAAGGGGAGGACAAGAAAAAATGTGTCTCATTTTCCAAATTCTTCTACTTGTGACTTAAAAAGGGAGTCAAAAACTCTATTCTTTCATGGGATCGAATTGATCACTTTTTGTAGAATTTAATGTAGTAGAAGCTTCTAAAGACCTTTAAGCAATCTGGTGGTGAAATGTTCATTGTTCTAAGAACATTTTTTTTTTTGGAGCCAAAACGCTTAGAATGTCAGTTTATAGCCTGTTTGGCCAAGCTTCTAAAATCAGCTTATTTTGAGAAGTGATTTTCTCAAAAGTACTTTTAAAAGTAAAAAGTAATTGTATTTGGCTAATTAATTTGAAAAGCACTTTTGAGCAGTAATTAGTGTTTGGCCAAGCTTTTGAAATTACTTCTAAGTGTATTTTTCTCAAAAGTGCTTCTGAGAAGAAATTACTTTTTTCTGCTTCTCAAAAACTGCTTCTGTTTCTTTTCAAAAGCACGTTTTTCTTTCCAAATGCTTGGGCAAACACCGGTCAGCTTAAGTGGTAAATTTCAATCTCAAACCTATGGACTTGGTTGTGCAAGTCACATTTGTAGACTTGCAATTGACTTGGTGGGCATCATGTTATTGACTCCTACATAACTACATTTTAAACAAGTAGTAATTCATATGCAATTTCTTCTCATAAACATTTAAGGACTGATTTGTCAAATTCATTTTACTAAATTGATATAGTTCCAATGTTTATTTATTTTCATTATAATTATACCGCTAATATTTTCATATATTAACCACAGATCCCTATCTATTAGAGCATCTAATCTACTTAAGACGAATTTCCTTATCCCTTCTAGACAAAGAGCGGAACTACTTTTCTTAGCTCAACAAAGAATTAATTACCTCAAACTGCTCTTAACTCTAGAACAAATGAATTCGAAAATGGAAGAACTATGGAGTTCAAGAAGAAAAAAAAAAAATCTGGTTGGAGCGTTCCCCTTTAATGGATCTTACGTGACACGAATCCGAATTAGTCGGGATCCCAAAGAAAGTTTTCAGTGTCCTTTCGTTTGGTCCCCTGGGTACCTTCTACAGGTAAGCATTTCAAGTAGATAAGATCATAAAACAAAGAAAGTGCCTCTGAAACTATCTTTCTTTTTCTGGAATCAAAATTTTAAATGACTAACATTTTACAATTAAGAAAATAATTAATTATATCTCGAAAAGAATAATACCGTTCATTCAGAATAAGTATCTCGATTACAACCATCTTCCTTTTCTTATCTTTTCCCTGTCAAAAGAGCTTTATGTTATATGACGTTTTCATAACTCATTGAGATTGAATTGTTAATTTGGTCTACACGTTATTTCTTAGTGGATGAAGGGGAAAAAGTTGTCTTAGTTCTCCTTTTGTTTTGGCAAATGATACATTGTGAAATACCGTTCGATTAATCACACAATAGTAACAAAAATGTAACTAACTAATGAAATTATGCCAAATAAATTAAGACCTTAAAAGTCAAAAGATTTTCTTGAATCTAATAAAAAGGAGCAAATAAACCTTGACATTTACGGTCATCTTACATTTGTCATCTATTTACCTACTATCCATAAAAGTTCCCCTCATCTCAAATATGCCCCTTCTACTAACTGTTTTCAGCCGCGGAATAATTGGTCAGATTTGGCTGATATAGTAGAAAGTAGAAACCATATAGGAATATATTTGGATCTTTTTCAATTGTTCAAAGGTATATATAGATATTTCTAATTGTTTTGCTCAGGCTTCAAATTATTGAAAATGATATTATATATAAATCGATTTTGTAGTTTAGGGGTAAATTTAAATTTTTTGTTTGTCTACGTGGCTCCACTATGACAAATCTCATAACCAAATTGGACAGCCACTAATTTTGTGAATGTAACATCACTTGAATTAGCTTTATTTAAGTCGCATTTAATATTTGACTTCCTCAACCTCAATTAGGCCACAACTTTTTAGCTCTTGCTGTGTAAACAGTGTAATACATCACTAGCATTAGCTCTTCGTTTACTTATTTTATATTTTGCTAGCAAGTTTTAGTTTAATGTTTCTTCCGCCCCTCTTTGTTGTCACATCATTTACTAGTATTATATCATTATATGTATACATATAATAAATTTCACTTATTATATTGATTGACAGAAATATAAAGAACTGTCTTTTATATATGCATATATCTACTTGTATCATGACTATCATACTCCGAAATGTTTGTGTCATTGACAAAACCTGTATTATTTTTAAAAACTTTGTTTACGGACTTAAGTATATAAATGGTGCTTTTTGTATACACAATGACATGTCTATCCGAGGGAGAAGTTTTACGAGGGAGATCAGTTTTTATTGCCTATTACAAATATTCGTTTAGTTGTTGGTATTAGTTATACTTGGTAATACAAAGTCAAAGATTTCTTTGTGGTGCTTTTTCTTTCTTTACTTCTTTGTCTTTTGTGAAAGACAAAGTGTCCCCCTCCATTGGTTGTGAAAAATTCTTTTCTTTTCTTTATATCGAATTGCTCTTTGTTGGGCTTGTAAAGAGCTAGTAAAAGGAAGCAGTCCCACGTACATGAGAAATTGGTCCTGAATGCAAAACGGGTCGAATTGTCCCCTGCGCGCGAGATATACGTGAGGCCTAATCCAAATCTGATTTTTCATAACCCCAATTTAATTCTCCTTCTTGTAACAGATGTAGCATCTTATCTATATTAGGAGCTGTTTTGTGAAGTTTTCAAACACAGAAAAACTCCTTCATCTTCTCTTCCAAACTTCAAGCCAGCGGCTTGCCACGACATATTATTTTTTGATAAACTGTTTTTGTTTCCTTCTTGTTCTTGGTCAATATTATCTACTCATTTTTCTTACAATTTAAAAGCAATTTTTATATATAATATTGACTGATGGCTACCACTTTGAACAAAACACTTCCTGACCTGTCAAAGCTTGAGCCTTTAGATGAAAATAATTATAAGTATTGGTCTTAGAAACTTTTAATTTTTCTTGAACAATTAGAAGTTGATTATATTTTGTTTAACGAACATCCTGCTGATATTGCTTATGCTGTTAGTAGACTGAATAGATATACTCACAACCCCGGTAGTAAATACTGGAATGATCTTCATCATTTGTTAAGGTATTTAAGAGGTACTATGGATTGGTGTTTGTATTTTAATAAATTTTCTGCTGTCTTAGAAGGATTTTGTGATGCAAACTGAGTTACTGACAATGATGAAGTTAGCTCCACTAGTGGCTATGTGTTTACTTTAGGTGCGGGTGCTATTTCATGGAAGTCTTCAAAACATACTTGTATAGCACGATCTACTATGGAGTCTGAATTCATTGCTCTTGAGTTGGCAGCGCAAGAAGCCGAGTGGTTGAGAAATTTATTGGCAGACGTGCCTTTGTGGGGAAGACAAGCTTCACTAGTTTCTCTACATTGTTACTCACAGGCGGCAATTGAAATTGCCAAAAATAGTGTGTACAATGAAAAAGAAGACATATATGCATTAGACATGGTGCGGTAAAATAATTGTTGAAATATGGTGTTATTTTCTTGAAATATGTAAAATCCGAAAAAAATTTGGCGGATCCTTTAACCAAGGGTTTGGCAAGAAGAGTTATCCTTGAAACGTCGAGGGGGATAGGGCTAAAGCCCATGGATTGAGGAAGTATGGTGGATACTCGTTTCTGGTCAAATGAAGCCATATGAGACCTCAATATGTACTACATTTCCTATCCCTATGGTGTGTGGTAGTGCTTTATAAGGTTGAGCTTTATTTTTTTCTTAATGATTCCATAGCCTTAAGGTGGTCTATGTATAGATAGACTTAATGGAATTACCTGCGTGAGTGTAAATGCGAGGTCACCTTTTATGAAAGACCTGGGATGTTTTTCTAGAGCACTCATGAGACTCAAGATATGTGTATGACCATAAAAGTAATTTGTTAGTATCGTAGAGTTTGCATAAAATCAAGGATATAGTATATGTTGTGGGGGTCTCAACTAATGTTCATTCAGTTCAAGAGTACTTCACTTAGTTATTGTCTCGAAAGATATTGACATTTACATGTTCCTTCTTTTTCCCAGAATTATTCTTATTCTAATTTTGTCTTTGCATTAGAGGGGGATTGTTGGTATTATTTGTACTTGGTAATGCAAAGTCAAAGATTTCTTTTTGGTCCCTTTTCCTTCTTTACTTTTTTGTCTTTTGTGAAAGACAAAGTGTCCCTCATTGGTTATGAAAAGTCTTTTTCTTCCCTTTATATTGAATTCTTCTTTGTTGGACTTGTAAAGAGCTAGTAAAAGGGAGCGGCCTCGCGCACATGAGAAATTGGTCCTGAAAGCAAAA